TATTATTGGCTGTTTGACAGGTAATCAAAAAAACCTGCACCCACACGAGCTCTCCACGGTTCAGGTTCCCCACCCCTGATGTAAACAGTAAACACTCAGTGACATAAAAAGTTATACACCCAGAAGTAATGGTCCGATTTGGACGTACTGTAATTTTCTAGGTGCAGACCAGCGGTGGGTATGTAAATGATTCGATTTGCAAGGAGCTGGTACATCTAGTCACCAGACACAGAAGTACGGCATTACCAGCACTTGACGGAGTTTGATAGAGGTCGCATTGTGGGTTTGCATGAGGCCAGGTGATGGTATCGTGTTGCCCGGCATGTGGGGCATGCAGTCGCCGATGTTGGAACCACGTCGTGAAGGTTCCGGTCACCCAAGACAGACCACACTAAAGGAGGATCATTGTATTGTGCGCCAAGCATTAAAGAATCCCATGACATCAGCACCTGCCATCAGGACACAGGACTCCCTACAACACCCTGTGTCATGGGTTCTCCATCCCATGCGTAGGCTGCTGTTAACACTAGCGTAGAGACAGCTGCATTTGGAGTGGTGCCGTAACTAGTGTTCGGCGGTATATCGGTTCATACCGAAAACCGTTTTTTGTAATTGTCATGAAATGAATTTTTCTTATACCGCAATAATGGTTTAAATAGGCTACACAACATTCGGAAAGTGGCGCAGCTGGAAACTGTTTAAGGGGGGACCCTTTTCACTGCTCCACCGCTAAAAATGTACCGCGAAAGATCAGAAACGGAAGATATAGCTGACGCTGGAGTTGAAAATAATGAGACACTGGGGTTGTCAAAAAAATCGATTCTCAGATACTAATCGATATTAAAAATTAGTATCTGATTAGATACTCATTTTCACCATTATTGATACCAACAGTGCAGTTTTAGCCTCATTCGCCAAACTTTACACAGCACCGCTATAGCGCAGGCGTGCACGCACGCGCACACTCGTGCAGCCCCTCCCCTCCTCTCAGCCGCTGAACGCATTTGCGCTGGTTAACATACACATACTGAGTTGCCCTAACATAGTATTTTGCAGACGAGCATGGAAACGCTAATGATGTCGGTAAGCCTTTATGCAAACAGTGCTACAAAGTTATGGCGACAAAGTCAAGTATCACATCAAACTTGGCGAAGCATCTTAAAGACCGACATCCCGGTCTTTAAGAGAAATTTCGCGAGGTCAGTAAAGCTTGCATTCCAGCAACACTGAACTATTTAACACTTGTCAAAAATGTTAACTTGGCCGATGCACACCTTATCATTAGCCGTTTATCTATAAGCAGTTAGCCAACAAACACGTTACCCATATGTTATCATTAAGGTAGTGGATAGGCGAATGGCTAATAATAGAATGATATACAGTGGTATCTCAGAACTCGAATTTAATCGGTTCAGAACTCCGGATCGAATCCTAAAAAGTTCGACTTGTGATCGAATTTTCCCCATAAGAAATAGTGGAAAAACCAATTTATTGGTTCCCGGCCCCAAAAAAATACACCTAAATATGTTTTTTTTAGCATTTAAACACAAAATGAACTGGATAAAATAAGAAGAGCATATACTGTACTAAACACATCTAAGCACATTTATCAAAACAGTCATTTGTAAAGTAAGAAAATAAATGTATCCAAACAATATTGTGTCCTGCCCTGATAGTCCGCTCCTTCCGTGTGCCACGCCCCCTCGCTAACCCCGTGTGGAATCCCCGTGTGATCAGCTGTTTCTGGTTGTTGTCATTAGTCCTCTGTATTTCGTCCGCCTTTCAGTTTGTTTCCCCAGTCTGGTCATTGTATTGTCCATCTGCGTTTTGCCAGCCTTACCTGTAATTAAACCCCGTATTCCCCGATACCCTGACGTCTGCGCCCTTGTCTCCGTTCCGTCCCAGCTCGGCACGACAATATTATTATAATTAAATGTATTAATGTTTTATTATTAATATTAAAATAATGAATAAGAAATCTTTATTTTTAAATGTATTTTATTATATAATAATAATTACTGTTACTATCATTGTCTAAATGTATTTTTACTGTCTAAATATATGTATTCAGTTAGTGTAAACATGCACGGTGCTATCACAGCGAATGCAAGGCTGAGACTGAAGCTTTACCCTTACCATCGCGTGCGCATATGGGGACGCCGAGGGGAGAGGACCAATCCTCCCAATGTTGTGGAGATGTTCCCAATGTTACTCCTGGCATCATTGTGTGAGGAGCCATAGGATATGACTTCAGATCATCTCTGGTAGTGATTCGGGGACCCTGACGGCACAGCACTATGTCAGTAACATCTTTTCAACCAGATAACGCCTGTCCACACACAGCACATGTGTCTATTGACTGCCTGTATCATGTTGAGGTCCGGCCTTCTGTTGCCAGCCAGGTCCCCCAGTCTTTCCCCAATCGAACATGTGTGGATCAGCTCAGGCGTCAACTCAGACCCAGTGCCAGTCTGCAGGATCTCGAGGGCCAGTTACAACAGCTGTGGGCCAACTTACAGCAGAAGAGGATAGAATGGCTGTATGACTCCCTTCCGCACCGTATCGCTGCATGTATCCAGGTCTGGGGGGGAAGGTGTCATAACCTACTGACATGGGACCAGCAGTGTGCCCATACTGGCAACTCTGTTGTCCGTTTGATCTGATATTATAATCATTGCGATACAGTCACATGACCTTTTACCACATGCAAATTCATTTCATTTCCACCACGTCTGGGTGCTTAACTTTTTTTGTCACTGAGTATATTTTTCCAATTCATCATCATCATCATCATCATCATCATCATCAGATATACCTTTTTCTTCTCTCCATTCTGTATATACTCAACCCCAAAGGCTTTGCTGCCCTGGAACAAGATTTTGGTGGTCAGGCATCTGACCTGTGCTGTCAGGTTTGGTCTGGCTAATGCAGGGCGCAAGTAAGCGCTAGCTGTGCTCCATCGCGTTCCTGTAAGGGGGGGGGGGTTACAGGACACTAACTGCATCATTGTCTCACACAGGCAAAAGGTCCAAAAAAGCCACGACTTCAGGCACTTGTATTACATCAGAAATCAAATGTCTGCATGTTGTGAGGTGTCAGGCTGTGGAGAAACTGGGCCTTCATTGGGACTGTAAAGGGATATTTAGAGACACTGGGATGACTGGTTTGGAAGTGTCATGTTTACCCAAAGAAGTCTCTGTACCTTTATAGATGGTCATGTCCATCCACCCTACTCCCTCCTGCTGGTAGCCGTTCATGTCATCTGTGAAGGGATATCCAGCTTGCTGGCCAGCCTGAATGAAGGCATGGTGCAGCGGGTGGTCTGTCTTTCCCCGGGAAACATGTAGAGGCCCAGAACCCCCCCGATACCGGTCTGCGCCCAGCTCGTGAGTCTGGGCCTTCTTAAAGTAAGGCAAGCAGTGCTCATAGTTCCAGCCAGTGGCGCCCTCCTGGTGCCATCGGTTGTAGTCTTCAGCATGACCTCGGATGTAGACCATGGCATTGAGGGAAGAGGAGCCTCCCCACACACGACCACGGGGCCAGTACATCACCCGTCTGTCCATGTGTCTCTGTGGTGTAGTGTGGTAGAACCAATTGTACTTGTCATGGCAGAGGTTGTATGTAAGCGCAGCTGGCATGTGGATCTTCCAGGACAATCGGGTGCTGTTGAGGAGTAGATCCTTGGGACCAGCCTCAAGAAGGAGCACTGATTCGTCCTTATTTTCGGAAAGCCTGTTTGCCAGTACACAACCAGCAGAGCCGGCCCCCACAATGACATAGTGAAAAGACGGGCTCATTTTTGCCGCTGGCCAGGTGCTATAATAACTGCAAAGCACCCGCCCGCTTGGCGTAGCAAGGAAACATCGCCGTGCCAACATTTTATCTAGCTGATTCAATCCATTAGCCAGTTTTGTATAAAACATATTGTCTCGCTTGTATTCCTCGTACTGGTTCAGTCGAACTTTTCATTGATGGGTCTGCCCTTCAAAGGAACGGTTTTTAGTTATAGGCTACGTACAAAAAATACATTAAATAAAATACATATATGCAGCCTTTTACATAAGTATTGCGCAACCTGTACACACAAGACAAACAAAAAAGCCGAGAAACATGTGGATTATAAATTCCTCTTTAACCCAGCCGTAAATTCTCAGCGATTAACAAATCCTACGGAAATATTTTTCCGACACAGGGCTTTAACAAGCATTCCAAAACTTGCAATATGCCATGGAGTTAAAAGTCCATAGACTTTTAGTAAGATTTCGGTATATTATTATTATTATTATTATTATTTTGCAAGTGGCTAATGTAAGTTTATATGAGCGCTATGTTTATGTTACGGTTCTATATGGTTAGTCGTCCATCCCGTTTTAATTACACTACATATGTAGTTTCATATTACAGTTACTATTTTTACTGTGCCGGAGCTGTGTGAATCCGTTCTGTGTTCACTGCAGGAAATTGCATGCACATTAATGAACTGATAATATAGTACTGGGTCTTATAGTACCATTTTGCATAGCCTAATTTAAACGTCTTAAAGACTTTATATTCTGACTTGCGTGATCGTTTCACTAAGCGTAACTTAGTTTGAGAAGTTCGCTTACAGACTTTCTTTAAGGCCCTCCTCATTGGCTCAAACATTCCACGTACAAAAAAAGAATTGTTAATATATCATATACGGCATTACAAGCAATGTGCATAAGCGAGATCTATGAATAGGCCGCTGCAGAATAATATCATTATTAAGCGGAATATTTCACAACGCAGCTAAAAAAAATAAAGCCTGTCTTTCGCTAGTTGAGACTGATAGGTTACGAAGTTCAGCTATGAAAAGTAACACTGGACACTGATAGTACTTATTCCAGAGAAAGACTACTTATGACTGGAAACACCTATTTATCCAGACAAATATATAGCAAGCAAATGTACTTTACTTTAAGTCACATACCGTGTTATTCTGCGATGTCCTGCAGCCCCACTGTAGTGGAGGGCGGAGTTTCTAGCTGTTAACCTCCAAGCACACAAATGCTGGACTCGTCAATATGCGGACGGCAGAGAAGTGCGTCTAACGGGAGACAAAGCCTGAAAATGTTTGGCAAGTACGGGGTGATGATCATGCTCTTCTCGGTGTTTGCATGGATACACACTTACGACGCACACCCGCAAGTGGTAAGTATTTTGTCCAGTATGATTATAAAAGATAGTTGTTATATGTCAACAAATTATATTTGTCTTTCTTTCAGAACGTATCCTGTGTGAGAAGCGAGGGTGAGATATTATCAGTGTTTTCAATTAGTCGTGCATTTTTAAACGTGCACATACATTGTGGGTTGTCTATTTAATACTGTGTGAGTAATATATATAGTCGGTTACTCCACCGTCAAAGATGCATGAAAATCTGAAGTGAAAATATTGGCTCTATGTATATATCGCTAAAGTAATTCGATTTCAATATTTTGATATGAAATGTTAACAAATTCTCCTGTGTGACCGTTATTAGCTTGTAAGAGTTATCCTCTCTTGGGTATTAACAGGCATGGGCGTAAATTATGGGGGGATGGGGGTTGTAACCCCTCCAATAGTCAAAACCAGCCAATACGATCCCCTGGACCACCTTAAATGGGTGGACGCCCCACCCGCCAATTGCTCAGCCCTCGCTATACCTGCTATACCTTTGCTAACAAGTGTTAATTAACGAACGTGGGATTGAAAAACGCATCCTATGGACAGGCAACTGAAATCAATTAAACTGTAGGTTCTTAGGATTTGACGAATATCATGTGAAATTAACAAAAATGTATACCATGATGCGTGTTTCCGTCACTGTTAAATGTTTGTATTGCAGTTGATTACCACTTTTTGAAAACATGACAACACTGGTAATGGAAGTCAGCAGGTTTGATATACAGCGATATCCGTGATATTGTATAGTACCTTTAATGATTTTGCCCCCAAAAATGTTTTAGCTCCAAACTCTGACTCGGATAGTGGTTATCAACATGATAATGAACTTTTTAAGTTCTTTTCAGAGGAATGACGTTGCGTGTGACGTCACCTTAGGTATTCACCCAGGTTTTTTCAGTGAGCCTGTGGGTTCCCCGTCTGCGATGCGAAACCTCCTGGTATCGCTTATTGAAAGCTGTGGCACCCGCGTTGCACACTCTGAACTACTGCTGAATATCAGTTGGGCCATCAACATAGATAGTAAGAGCTTCTTGTTATTCATGAAAATGGGCAAAAATATTTCATTTTACTTAAATTCAATTCAGTTCTTTAATTGTCATTGTGCATGACAACACAACAAGACTAGCAACTCCCTGAGGATAAATAGTATGTGGTGGTGTAATGCATGGGGGTTATGTGTGAGAGTTCCTTTGGTGCCCTTGCTCAGCCTGCTACTAAATGATTCTCACATATTTGGCATGTGATTCTCAACTATTTCAGCAACATGGAATTGGCAGTAGATACAATGCTATGGTTAATCTTATTTAAAAATACTTTATTTTTTGTAGAAAGCAATGTCTACCTCACTGGTACATGGCTCAACATTAACGATGATTCTTTCTGCTGTGAGTATCACCCTCCATTCAGTGCAGTGAATACGTCAGGCTACGAGAAGGTAAGAGAGATCCACTCTAATTTAATTTAAACTGGAAATAAGAAATACTCTATTTTTAAAATCAGAGCTACAACGCGTACCAACTCTGTTGAGACTTACTATAATTTTGTGTGTTTTTCTTCCTTTTGTAGCTATGGTTCCATTTTACTGAGTTTGTTGCAGAACCAGAAAATGACTACTTTATCACCGGGTACAACCTCCCTTATCCAATGATTGGAAGTGACTCTGTTTCAAAGACAGTCGTGTTTGAAACAAGTGGTATGTTATTTCTCATCACTTATAACTACCATCCTCTTGAGTATCTAAGTGTCTTACTTTAAAATGATAAAAAGCTTTCCAACAGTGGGACTCTGGGGGATATGAAAGCAGTTCTGGAAGAATATTACAGAACATTTTCTTTGTTTTTCTTTGATACAAATAATCCAGGTTGTGACACAGAAAAAATGAAATATTGCGAGTCCTGTATTAAAAAAGGTAAAAGTCAACTTAGATGCATCAGTCTCTTAATGTATGAATTGAAGTATGTAATTTACTGTTTTTGTCACCTATGACATTAATAGTAATTGTAAGTTCTATCTATTTCTGTAGGATCTCTCTGGGAACCTAATATAACCACAGCTGTTTTAAAAAATGAAGTAAAATTAAATTTTACTTCAAGCCCATACATTAAAAGGTACCTGATACAGTTGTTGAGATTGAGTGGGGGAGAAGAAAAGATCATCAATGCAAAAGAGTGTTATACAGTAAGTGAAAGACTTGTTTTTCAATTTTCATTCTTCTCATTAATAAATGTAACCCTTGCTCAGCATGTCATCTTGTGCTTGCCCTTATTGTTCCATTAGAGATACTGTGTCCAAAATTTTATTTTCTACAGGGGAGTGATGAGTCCAGATGGTCTGAAACCCTGAACTTCACGGGGCATTGTGAATCTCTCATGGTTGTGGTCAGTACTTTAACAGCACACTAACTTAAAATTAAGTCCAGTCCATTCTCCTGTCAGTGCAGGTCTTTGAAACATGAAACTGCTATGTTTCTGGAAACTCAAATCTGAATTTCAGGTGGAGCCAGGCTTCGACACAAACCGCCCTCAGTTCTCTGTTGAAGTCTCCTGCAGCATGAAAGGTTTAGTATACTCAACTAACAAAAGCTTCATCCTTCCGAGATCTTTCCCACATACATGTGATGCACAAATGCTAATTTAAAAAAATCCTTTTTTTTTGTGGAAGAGTCCTTGGTGTCAGATAACCGTACTTGCTGCACGTCTTTGTGGATCGGAATCAGCTGTGCTACTGCTGCTGTGGTGTTATTAGCGGCCTGTGTGTCTGCACTGTGTAAGTGATGTCCTGCTCTTTCATCCAGGCATGCAGATATGATAAATGGAATGATTCACTTTTTGTGGCATATTTAGTTACCTGGTCATCGCTCACCACTTGGTCGGTTTTTATTCCAACCTCATTTTAGGTAAAGCGCGCAGCACTTACTCGCAATTCCCCAAACTATTGGAGGACAGTGGCCACGTCTCGGTCCTCATCATCTATCCAGCGAAGAACTGCGCTTTCCAGCGGGCAGTAGTCACCTTGGCCGAGTTCCTAACGTCGCACTGCTGCTGCAATGTCATCATAGACGTGTGGCAGAGGAGGAGCGTTGCTGAGAAAGGCCTGCTTCGCTGGCTGACCGAGCATATGAAGTCTGCAGAAAGGGTGGTCTTCGTGACCACCCAGGGCCGAGGCAACACTGGGGGCAGGCCGGACTCGGACCTGGCTGATTTCACAGTTCCAGCCTCTGTGGATGACATGTTCTCCTTAGCTCTCAACATCCTTGCCAGTCAGGCCAAGGAAGGGCTGGGCTGCAGCAAGTATTTCACTGTGCACCTCGGTGAGGACATGGATCTAAAGAGCCTCCCTGTGACTTTAACCATGTGTAGATCATTCAGGTTGATGACAGATTTGGATAAGTTCTGCAGACAACTTCATGAGAATCTTTCCAGAAGAACAATTAACTTTCCTTTCATTGACTCCAAGTTAGGGTTACTGCAGGGTCAAGATAATACTGCAGAACTTAGAGATGCAATAAAAGAACTGCAGACATGGGAAGACAAAGTCTAAGGTTGTCAGAGTTGCCAACTTTGGCATGAGGTAGAGAGAAGTCTGCACACACATTACCATCTATGGAAGAGTTTTAGTACCTTGTAAATAGTCTGTAGGGTTTGCAAACGTCCCAAAGCTTTTGATGTAGCTAATTTTAGGTTTAAAATGGAATAATATAGATTTGCTGTAAGATGTCTTGCATTAGCGTGAGAGTCTGAAAGTTGAGTGTTACGCCAGGTGCGAGAGGCTTGGCAGCGCTGGGTTTTACAGGTGAATGTCTTGTGAATGACTGCACTTCAGTGACACTGCAGGTCTCACCTGACCAAGAAATTATGAGTATGTATTCACTTTATTTCCTCCATTTTTATTTTCATATCCATTTATTTCCTCAGAAATATGATGAAAAACAGAAAGATTGATAGACATACAACTGGATGGTGCTGTATATTGTGAACTGTTTGTTGTTTCACAGAGGTCAGAGTATGAACGTTGTAACTCTCTTTATGGACATTTCAATACATATTGTTTATCTTTGATATGCATGATGTAATATTTACCTGGAGATTCATATGATTTTCTTATATATGTAATTTAAACACTATGCAAAAAGTCATTTTATTGTACTTGCCGAGTAACAGCTTGCTTTACCTTATTGTACTTTTTTTATTGTGCTTTCCAAATAAAGAAGGTAATAAAGTCACCACTCAATTTCTTCTCATGTAATTCCAGCAGAATAAAGTGAGTCTCTGCAGGGTTAACCTTAGACCAGCTATGTTTACACCTGATAGATAGGTAAATAGTGCCAGTATCAAAGGTCTCTTTTTCCTGTGTGTCACACATGCATTAAATGCTGCAATTGGAAATTTGAGCCTGGGTTGTGATTTAATTTAGAAGGCTTTTAACTTCAAAGAATCTGTAGGAATGCAAAAGATTGACTACTGTTTTCAATAACACTCGTTTAGGTAAAAAAACGTTACCTTTCCGTGATACTGCCATGTTTCAATTTTGAGCTTTTCTTCACATTTTGGCATAATCTCTTACTTCCACTTTGGCTTCCAAATAGACCTTGTAAATATGACCCAACTAATTCTGTCATCTTGTGCATTCCAGTTGTGATTGGGGAATACCTATGATTTTGGGACTGGTCTGCTGCAGACACGTTCTCATTACCGTGATAACACAAAATAATTTGACAGATCAATTTCAAATTTTGCAGGTGGTCAAGACAGTAAGCTAAGCCTCTGTGCCTGTGATCAGAAGGTAGCTGGTTCAAGCCCAGCCTCAGCATGTCTGTGGGTCCTAGAGCAAGGCCCTTGAACCCCAGCTCTCTGGGCACCACAAGTTGGCTGCCCTTCACGGCCAAGCTTGCTCTTATGATGGGGAACAATAAAGTATCAATTATTATTATTATGAAAACCGAAGCAATGCCACTAAGTGGCAGCAAAGGGAAGAGTGACTACAGAAGACACCTGACCTATTGAAAGTGATAACTCAAAAAGTATTTGGCTTAGAGAACATGGAATGTGGTGGGAAAGGAGCCTGAGCTGGTGCACCTCAACACACAGCACAGGCTCCGGAAGCGAACTCCTGGAAAGGGGCTGGATTCTATTCCATTCTGGAGAGGCGCTGGTCAGATGTAGGTCTACTTTTAGCCCACATGGTCATGTGCCAGTACGTTGAAGTTCACTCCGGTGAACCAGAGGGTTGCCTTCCTCTGACTCTGACCGTTGTCTGTGTGTACTCACTGAACATCACTCCAAAGTATAAGGCCTTCTAGGAGACCTTGGAGGGGCTTCTGAAAGGTGCTTTATTGTTCTACTGGGGTACTATAATACTCACGTGGGTAACAGCAATGAAATCTGGAAGGGTGTGATTGGGAGGAATGCCCTGCCCGATCTGAACCCGAAAAGTGCTGCTATTGGACTTCTGTGCTAACCACAGTCTGTCCATAACAAACACCATGTTCGAACATAAGGGTGTTCAGAAGTGCAACAGAGCACCCCAGGCCACAGTTTAATAATCAATTTTGTAATCGTATCGTCTGACCTGTGTTTGCATGTCTTGAACACTCTGGTAAAGAGAAGAACTGAGCTGTCAACAGATCTCCACCTGCTGGTGAGTTGAGTCTGATGGCAGGGAAAATGCTGGACTGTGCAGGAGCTCCTGGCCCAGAGATCTTCAACTCGCACCTCCGGCAGAACTCGTCTTGTATCCTGACGGAGGCTGGGGACATTGAGCCTGCCTTGTTAAGCCGGCTGTGCAGAGCTGTGGCCGTAAGGTTGTTATAGTGCCGGTTATGGTTGCAATCCGCAAACTGGTGATGGACACCAGCAGTAAAGGGAGCTGTCAGGCTGAAGGAGGAGGCCTTCTGAACCTGGTTGTCTGGTGGGATTCCTGAAGAGGTAGACAGATACTGACAGGCCAAATGGAATGAGGTCTTGGCAGTTGCTGAAGTGGAAACTGGTAGATATTTAATGTAGGTCTGGAAATACCTTGCATTTGCCCCTGCAACACAGCCTGAGGTAAGCAGTAAACAAAAGATGGATGGATATTCGATTAAACTTATTACCACTTTACAAAAACACTGTATGGATGAAGATCTGCACCTGATTTAATTTTATTGACGGGGCCATTCGGGGAATACATTACCATTCCAACAGCATGTAGTGACATTATTAGATAAATTACAGTAGTATGTTCAAATCAGGGCACTTGTAGGAATGTCTTATGAGGAGAGGTTAGCGGAACTGAATCTGTTTAGCCTTGAGCAAAGGAGACTAAGGGGGGACATGATCCAGGTCTATAAGATTCTAACGGGTCTGGATGCTGTTCAGCCAAATGACTATTTCAATATTAGTCTAAATATTAGAACTCGTGGCCATAAGTGGAAATTAGCGGGAGAACATTTTAAAACAAATTTGAGGAAGCACTTCTTTACACAGCGTGTAGTTAGAGTATGGAATAGTCTTCCTGCTATTGTAGTGGAAGCTAAAACCCTGGGTTCCTTTAAATCAGAGCTAGGTAAGATTTTAACAACTCTGAGCTATTAGCTAAGTTCTCCCCAAACGAGCTTGATGGGCCGAATGGCCTCCTCTCGTTTGTAAATTTCTTATGTTCTTATGTTTCCCTCTCTCTGCAGGGAACAAACTTAAACATAATTCTTTAAATTTGAACTATTTGCTGAATTTAAGAGATTGAGGAGAAAACAAAATGCAGCATGTGTTTGTTTGGCCTTGGAAAGCTGGTGAGCTATTGCCTATTTATTGGTCTTAAAATCCAGCTTTATGAGAAAGGACTAACTGCCTTACCAAGCCCACGTCCTATACACTTACTGTAAATACAAGTGTTCTGTTATTAGAAATTGTCTTAAAGGTTTTCTGAACGAGTTAACGGTATTTTAAAGTATCCTCATCTATAGAATGTTTATAAATGGAAATCTTATTTTGAGAAGCCTGTTCATCATGGGTTTTGATAGAGATCTAACTTCAAATTTTTGCAAAGTAGACGAAGTGGCAAGTTATTATGGTCTGGACGTGCGGCAGCTACGTTTTTCTGTTTGCGCCTTCTCTTCAGGCCAGCTACATTTGTTTTTGTGATTACCACATTTTATGCATCTCACCATTTATTTAGCAAATAAATAGTTACTGTGCATTAAAATTTGAATATTTTCAAGTTTGTCCTCCACAGTGGCTGTGTTAATTTAATTTAATTTAAAAATCACCAAACCACGTTCTGCGTAAGTCTACATCTATGCCTTTAAAAGGAAAAACAAAACAAAACATGGTCTTATTTGATCACATTGGCTCATTTAGAAGCAGTTTTACACAGCCCACCATATGACCATCAACCTTTAATCCAGTTTGTATTTTACAAAACCAAACAATATCAGATACAGTGAGGCAACATATTCAATAGTAAAAGAGACAGTATATACAGTGTGTGAGGAATGCACGCGGAATGACGTGGTCGTCACCAGACGAAGGCCGCCCGCTCCCTCAGCATGCGCACGCCGAAGCGCTGCCACTCCTGCTGGTAGATCCACATCTCCTGTGTGGTGTCCAGGCAAGCCAGCACCGCTCCTCCCTTCCAGGCGATCAGCCGTGGGTCCATGTCCTGCGAAAGGGGCAACGGCTCAGGGCACACGGAACCGCGCTGCCTCCAGACGGCCACACAGAAGCATAAGCGTACCTTGGGCCGCGTGATGACCTCCACGTTCTCCACCACCCGGCGGAAGGACGGAGGCATCTTGTTGAGGATGCGGTGCTGGAGGAACTCCTGGGCCCCGGGGAACATTAAGCCCCCGCCCACCACCAGGATGGAGCTGTACATCTTCCGCTTGGTCTCGTCGGATGCTGCGGGCAGGGGAAGCATGCGAGACAGATATTCACTTACGCAAATCACACGTGTGGTAGCAAGTCCCACAGTAAGTTCAGTATGACACATGGGAGGAGGGCATCCTGGAAGCATGCGGTCTTACTGCAGCAGTCGATGCTGTAGAGGATGGCTTTGTCGAGGCCCAGGGCTTTGCCTTCAAACTGCGTCATGGCACTCTTCCTGGACAGGAACGCGGACGGCAGCTCCTCCGCCTCGGCCCCCCCCATAAGGCAGTCGCCCTGGGGATGGCCCAGCTCCGCATCCTGGACATGGACCCCTCGCATGGGGGGGTCCACTCCCTGGCTGCCGGACTCCCCGTCCAAACCAATGGATTTGGGAAGGGTCCTGCGCTCCGCTATGGCTTTGGAAGACTTCGCGAAAAATAGAGAGGAAGGGAAAAGGCCACATGCACTGTAAATATGAATATAAGTATGAAAAGCACTGTGTGAGAGCTTCATATTACATCCGGGGAATACTACAGGCCACAGATGATGAAACAGCACAACTGGCACAACACTTAAAATGGACAAAATAAACGAGTGATTAAATAATTTACCGGTATCTCTGCGCAGAATAAGCTGCCCTATTGAGCTCACACGCTCCGGGTCTCCTACCTGGTCCTGCTTGCTCTGCGTGCTCAGCAGGTAGTGCTCATCATGGGGGTCTTCTGGATCTCCCTGGGAGCGATGCTGCAGCGTCGTCATCTTCTGCCCCACGATCCCGAAGGTCGACGGGTAGAACAGGGCCATCGGTGCCTGTCATGGACGCCCAGAGCCACAGTTTACGTAATATCCATAAACCCTCACAGATAAGAATGAGACTCTATTGCACAATCGGCAAAAGTATTATAATTATTATTATTATTATGATATATGTGGCACAGCTGCAGGTTCCACACAGTCAGCGATTCTCTGCACCTGCAGCTTTTCATCCCCCAGTCGGAGTTGGTACAGCAGAGTAGGCGAGTCTGGGAATCGGGTTCGAAACTCATGGTCTTGGAGCCCGGATATGTCCTGGTGTAATATGAAAACACGTGGATTAACTGGTTTCTCAGCACAAGCTGGTGAACAAAAGTGATAATAATAAAAATAATGCAGTTCACTAGTAACACCAGCTCTGGGGAGGACTGTGAACAGACCTGCGTGACACAGATGGGAGGAAGGAACAAGGATATTATCTGAGATATGGGTGCAGACAAATGTGGGTGGGGACAAATACGCTGGAACCAAAGCGTGTTTTGTCACAGATTAGGGTGACAACTGCAAGCATGGGGGCAAGTTTAGTGGTGGGGGCATGAATGCACACACACGCAGCACGAGTGCACAC